TGCACCTTCGTGGCGGCATCTGGGCGGCGGACGGCTGCCCGGCAGACCGGCATGGTGCTTGCAAGACGGAGCCTCCCCGGGATGCCATCGGCGGCCAGATTCTCCTCGCTCTGCACTAGGGTAATGAAAGGTCCACCCCGCGTCCATGGACGTGGTGGACATTCATGGCTGGCACTGGCCCGTTGCTGAAAGCCCACCCAACCCCTGTGGTTTGTCTGCTGAATCATGTTGCAGTGTGCCTGTAGCGTTTCATGTGAGCAAAAGGGGCAAACACTGCATTTTGTGAGCTGGACATGCTGGACCTTGGTGGACGTAGCTGTGGACATTGTGACCAGCTCAGAGAAAATGAAAGTCACATGGCTTGGGCACAATGCTGGTGTTGTCAAATGGTGGTGACTGTGCAAGCCATGTGAACTACTCCGCCAGCGCTGTCGCCGCCTCAAGCGCCATTGCCGTCTCCTCTGCCTCTGACCCCTCTACCACCTCCTCCGCCTCCTCCGCCTCCTCCTCCTCCACATCAGCAATCAAGCAACGCTTTCTCTGCTGGATTCGCCCCAATGCCGTTCGCAGTTGGTTGCCTGTTGCCGTGTCTGGGTCCACGCCCGCACTCCGGATCAGCTCCACCACTGCGCCAAAACCGCCCTTCACCGTCTCGGACACGGAGTGGGCGACGAGGTAGAATGACAACAGCTTGTTCCATGGCATCTCATGGACCTCGATGACCAGCTCAGCATCCAAGAGCACAATGTCCTTGGTGGTACGGGTGGAGGCTGGGCGCATAGCACTGTTGACCCATGAATAGGCCAGCAACTGCTCATGCGTGGGCGTACCCGGCTCGATGACCAGTGCAGCACCAATGTCCATCAGGTAATCAACTGCACCTTCGTACGTTTGGATCTCCCCCACGACTGCCCGCTCTGCTTTGCATATTTCGCTGGCCTCCACTCGCGCCGCCAGCGCAGGCTCCGCCGTCTTGGCAACTGGCTTGCCGACCGTGCCGATCTGCATGGGACAGATTCAAAACATTGCCTCTTCAACGTCACTGACGGCACTAAACACATTGCTACCATTCAGTGATTGAAGTAATCTCCACTATGCACCTGCACTGCCTCTTCCTTCAGCGCTGCGGTAACGGCATCCACGTTGACTTTGCGCACCTGCGCAGCGCATGCGGGGGCGGCGATACAACATGGAGAGGCTCAATACAGTATCACCGCCGGAGCCACGTGCAGGAGTCACGGCAGTGCATTGGTCTTGGCACAGTCCTACCTTCTTCTTAGGATCCAGATTGTAATCTGCGCCACAGCCCGCCGGCAGATCGGTCCACTCATCCTGCACACATGATCACAGTGCACATGGTCACATGGCTTGCCATACCTATTGCAAACAACAAACGGTTCAATATTCAGCAAGCCATGTGACCAGCTCGGGGCCCGTCCGCCTGCCTGCAGAGCATGATCTGCGGCCAAAAGGGATTCTGTGTTGTTGAACACCCGCTTGAAGATTGGTGGGCCTTCGAGGTCCATCGCCATAGGCACACAAGGCATATGCAACCATTCCCATTGGCACCTCATTCTCATCGGTAGAATCGCTTAGACAATTGTCGTCTTCAGAATGGTCAAACATCGGCTCATCTTGTGGAAGGGGGGCATCCTCTTCAAGTCCTCCATCAGGTAAATCAGTGATTGTAGAAGGCGCTGTGGCATTGGCGGCTTCATCATGCAAAATACCGAAGGCTGGAAGTGCGAATGGGTGATTAGCACTGTCCACCCTGCTATCATTAAATGGAGGGGGGCTAGGTTCCGAATTTGCGGCAAAATGAGGAGAGTTGGGGT